AGTGTATGCACATCTGGCTTCTTGTGCATGTCCATACAGTTTATTCCGATATCCGATAAGGTCATCAACTGCAAGTCGAATGTTGCCATTCTGAGGACAGCTAATCGAAGCAATATTAATCAGCAGACAACGAAGAAGGAAGTGTTAAATCCAGATGGTTTGATGAAAGTGTGGTTTTTGCCGGACAACAACATAATTGTGCCACGCTTTTTGTATTATGACAAGATAGTTTTTGTCCATTTTTGTCTAGCAGTATATTTAATTGCTCCGGATGTAGAACTCTACTCGCGGGAGTTGTAAGTGCTAATTTTCTGTTGACACACTGGCAACATGTATATCTGTTAAAGCATAAATGATATATTTCATGCTGGTTCAAGTTTATAAAATCCTCCAGTGTTTGATTGCAAGCGTTTAGTTCATTATCTAGCAACAAAATCAACACGTCTTTTCCGTGATCAACAATAATTGTTGAGATTCTGTAAAAGTTTTCTCTCTCCTTCTGTGCGTTTAACCTTCAATATTTAAAAAAAGGTTAGACAACTTTCCTTTATTACGATTGCTTTGTTTTTGTTTTTACTATATTTCTAGTTAACCTAGTGTTTATAACAGGAAAAAACACTGTCTACACATCCTATATTACTCCTTTTGAAAGTCATTTAATTTACTGTGAATGTACTTTTATTCGTGGGTATCAATTTTCGTGGTTTGAGCAAAAGCTACATGATAGTCAATACTTAAATCCGTAGATTTTAGTTTTCTAAATAACATCGAATAAAGAATTCGTAGCCCTCAAAACCGATACTTCTTGAGAATAACAATGCTATTTAATCATGTTAATAATTCTTTGCACTAACTTCTTCTTCTTTCATTACAGACAACATTCATAAACTTTTTTTTATAGAATAAAGCATTTTTGTAAAGGAATGTATTGATGTCAAAACTTGACCAATTTACTCCCAAAGATATGATATGTTTGTGAGTGACTTGGTCCAGTTTATACACCCATAATTTGAGAATGGAAATGATGAATATGTCAAAGAGAAAACAACCCGACCAAAGATCAGATAATAGCCGAAGGCCACCAATGGGTCTTCAATGCAACGGACAAGCCTGCACCCGGAGGTGGGTCTCAGCTGGCTCCTAACTAAAAATGTATACTAGTTCAGTGAAAAGTAACTTCATACTTGTCTGCAAAACATATAAATGAACTTAAATTCTTAAACTTAAATCATACCATATCTTCTTTCTTATATTAGATTAAAAAATATACAAGACTAACAAAGGTCAGAGGCTCCTGACTTGCATGGGACAGACGCAAATTTGCAGCGGGGTTTAACATGTTTTGTGAGATCTCAATCATTCCAATATAAATTCTATTCAAAAGGTGATTGGATTTGCCTGGCGTGTGAATATATATAAAATTAGTTATGTCAACATTGTTTATCCAAAAATGATTCACTATCGGGAGCCTTCCAGATCAATCCTTTTAACGTAATTCCAAATTGCAAATCGTATAAGAAAGATAATGATAAAACATTGTCTCTGGAAATAATTTGATTGATCTATGCTTACAAGTTGTCGGAATTGAAGGAAATTGCATTTTTTGGAGTGTAATAACATAAGCGGTAAGTTATTTGCACAAAATTTGCATTGCAGCAAGTAATGGGTGATGCTCGAGGCTAAAATGTTTAAAGAAAAAACCTCATACACAGTGTTGTTGAACTGACAATACCCCTCCCAATGAACACAAAGACATGAAAAGACGGCCTTTAATTTGACAACTTTTATTTTGTTTTTATTGACAAAAGTACCCAAGTGTCTTACAGTTCTGCTTACTTTACCTTTAGGTAACATCTAAATAGTTAAAGAATATTGTATATGTTGCGTTTCTTTGCATAATCTGACTTGAAACTCAATCGTTTGGATTAAGATAAATATATTAGTTTTCAGGGACTCACATAAGCTATTAACTATTTTCCAAATAATAATCACAACTAATCCAATCGTCGTACATGAGAGTACAAAATATATTTCAACCAAGTATTGATTAAAAATTTACATTTATCAATGTGTACTGATGAACAAAAATGCTGAAAGCGATTATATATTTTTAGAATATGATTTAATTGCTTTTACATTCCAATCATGTCATACATTTGAATTGCGTATTCAACTTTTTCAAAATCAATAAACACATGCAAGGACGACGAACATTTTCTTATAAGAAGTTGTGGACCATGGTATATATGATTTCAATAAAATATATTGTGATGATTTCAATTATGTAATATGTATTCTACAGTACAAACTATATTGACAATAATACGTTTTATTTGTTTTCTTATACATGTTATACTCCAAGTGAGATGATTAATCAATTTGGATAAAACACATTAATTTAAAATATTAAAAATATATATATAATGTAAATTTTTCATAAAACAATTAACTATGTTTGTTATGTCTCTTCCACTTGGTGATGTTTAATATGTGAGGAATAAGACGTGTATGTTTGAAACAACGATTAAACTATGTAATTATTCTTTTGCCTAAATCTTACATGCTTTTCTTTTATCTCTTGTCGCATTATAACCAATGTATGCTTATTAATCAAATTTAATCAATCATTATCAAAATTCGAGAATTTGGTTAAATCTAACGCTTGGTATTATTGTGTTATCAGCGGATGAAGATAAAGGTGTACCTGTGGAAAAATATTTTATAAAATTGAAAACAAATATGAAATCAATGTCATTGTAATCCAATACGGTGTTCATAACATAAAATATTAACGCACGAAATAGGGATAAGTATATATATGCGTTGCCAATGACAGCAAGATTGTTTACCGATGTCAATTGCAATCATTTTGTATAATTATTTTATTTATACTTCTGTTTTTTCTGATGTTTTGCTACACAAATATAACTAGTACTAATCGTGATATTTAAACCCTATTCAAACAACTATTAGTCAATCAAATTACATCGTCTTTTATTGTAACAGTCCTGAACAATGAAGGTTTATATTTTTGCTTACAAATGGCTAATTAATTGACTTAAAATTTTCCTTTCATATTATACATAAAACATACCCTTAAGTATCACAGTAAGTTACAGGTTAAAACAAATTAATATTAATATGTGTATATTATAGTGCTACAATAACAGATAACACTTACATTTTAAAATTGTTTAATCTTTACTCCAGTAGCATATCAACAATTGTATATTTTTATATTCTTGTCGGCAATGTTAACAGAACTCGCCAAAGGAAACAGGAAGTGACGGGATATATTGAAATTTTTTACATTTAAATACACATTCTATGTCAAAACTGATTAATTTTAAAAAACCAACTTAAAATACTTGGTAGATGATACATATAAACACTACCCCATTAGTTAAGCACTACACATGTTTATGTTATAGGAAATTTTTCAAATTTTCAAATTAAATATTTTTTAATCAGTCAATCGTGTTGACTTTGGTTGAATGTTACAGAAATATATCAATCACAAATCTTGTGCAATATAAAAATGTTATGCTTTCTGCTTTAATTTGCAAAATGGAACGTTGGATTTTTAAAAAAACAATCAAGTTAGTTTTTTTTAGCCAATTGAGGTTAGTAACGTCAAAATTAATTAACATTTATTTGTTTGATTGTTTCTATATTTACCACCAAATGCACAATTTACGTGTTGTAACTAAGGAGTTAGACGCCATATTGACTTTCTAAAATCATAAATGTTCGATAAATGCAACAGAATCTAAAATGAAATAGCACCTCAAAAACTTTATTTTAATGAGATATTATTTAAATTTGAAGCGTACAAGTTACGAAATAATCTTTTGCTTAAAAGGTTTCATTCGTATGACTTCGTGTTGATTCATGACGTAAATTCGCTAAATCTTTCATGAAATTTCGCGGAAATTTATATAAATTTTTATTTTATACATTTTCAAAGCTTAAATGCAATATTTCTTTATTGTTATATTAGTATTTTAATAGAAACAACTGGTTTTTTTTTTGGTTTTTTTTAATCTCAATTTGCAGAAAACCCAGGATCCCGGCATGCATGTGTATTGCGCATGAATAGATTATAGTGGAAGTAACTAAAGTAGTTTCGGAAACATGGTTTATCGAAGTGTAAACCAAGGGAAAAAATTCCAATTGACCAATCCGTTTCAAGTATTTATAGATATGCAAATCATATAAGAATTATAAATTTAAATAAACCACTGGAATGCATGACATTATACATGACTGACATAAAATGATTTTACACATTTTTGATATTTATGATCTAACATACCAGTGATACAAACTCAAACTGAGCAAGACAGACCACACATAAATACCTTTGGTGATTTCAGATGATCTGCAAGGGTAAGGAAATTCTTATAATTTTATAAACAACGGACATGCGTGATCCTTTAAAACCCTGACGTTGTTTTTTGATACACCAGTGACATCAATAAACGTAATCACCACTGACATGTATTATCTTATTGTGTTAAATTTATGACTGTAATATTCTAATTTTGACGGAGTTTGAATTCGAATGGCGTGTGCCGAATGAATACGACGCGACTATTACCCTGTCAAATCATCTGGTCTCTCTCCTTTTGAGTTCAAGCCATTCCCTCAGGGTATTTTTCGTAACCTTGATGTGTTTCTACCTGTAAATTTATGTTTTGATGAGATTTGAACACTGGTAACTGACTTTTGATTAAATCTATTCATCAATGACATGTATGAAAATAAAGTCATTAGAAATAGGATTTAAATTACTGATAAGCAACTTTAATAAATACATGAGCTAATACACCAAAAGCATGAGAAAAAATGCAAAAAAAATTTGTTTATTTCATAGCAAACTCACGTTGGAAAATATGTATTATTAAACTAACATCGAACATGTCGGTTTAATACAAACTACAGGAAGAGGAAACAGGAAAAAGAATAAGTGTATCATAGAGGGATTGGCTATTGTTTTAAAATGTAGTGACTGTATTACCGTTTATCGATTTTAGTAATTTGGTTCTTTAAATACTTTAGCATTTATCATGCACCTTCGGCATTGCATGTTTCCTTTCTACATTGCACACTGATAACGAAAAAGGACTTGACGACGGAAATATTCAATATTACAAAACATGTAAGTAGTGTCAGATATGTATGTTAAGGAACTCTTTTCATTCAATATAACTTTTGTATACACTTACAGAAATTGCTAACAAATAAGATGTCAATGTTAAATACTGTTAAGGGGCTCTTACCGTATTTGTCTTCCTGGTTTATTTGATATTCACATGAGAAAGCTCATTATGTGATGATGCGATCCATGTAAATAAATTAATCCTTTGAATAGACTTATTCTTACAGGTTATCAATTTAACACAGTAGTAAAATCTTTAAATATTATTTTTATTGGTACTAACATTGATATTATTTCCGAAAAATTAAAACATAACTAGAGATAAAAATAAAATATATTGGACAATCAGTGGTGAAATCTAAAGGTTCAAAGTCAATGGACCATGGCTGAAGGGTTTGGTCAAATAATCAATATGAATATCAGATGTGGTAAAGTAAATAAACAAGCATATAAAACATTGACCAACCATATTGATAACCTCACTGTCACTGGACACCTTTACCCTTGTCTCGCTTCGCCAATTCGTAGAGTTTAGAAAGATATCGTCATAAAATAAGACGAACCGTGTGAAAAATGTGCAGAAAAAGGCAAAGTGTGGGTCAAAATTACGAGTCACTATATAATATAAAGAGGTATAAACTTTTGTGAACAGCGAAACAGTAACGATACATGAAAAAGATAAACAAATGGTATTTATCAGTAGACATGTTTATTTACCATGTGCCAAATTTGAAGTTGTCACGAGTTTTGTAAATATGTTTATAACATACAATCTTTTACTATTCATTGATTAATTGGTTTTTGCTAAATATTACCATGCAGTGTTAATATTGATTAATAGATAAGAAAATATATACAAATGACATGAGTAGACGAAATGATTTGCATATTAAAAGTCCCGAACAACAATGACATCCATCCCATCGAAAAACAATGTTGTGCAAACCATGCATGTAATAATATTTGCATATAATAAAAACAGAAACATGGCAAACAATACAAAAAAGAATAAAATACACATTTAATACCTAAAAAGTATAAATTGTCTTTAGAGTAAAATTTTACTGCAAAATCAGATTCTATAAAACCATCTAAAAAAATCTAAAGAATGTCTAAATTAAAGTGTCAACAAATAAGAAATATAATTCGTTATCAGTAAAATAACTGTATGTGTATTTTACCGAAGCATTTCATTGTAGTATTTGAAAATCAATCGCATTAACATTGTCTATGCAAGGGATAGAGCTCGTCATGTTGCATTTAAGTACATGTTTATATCAAGCTGCGACAATTTAAATAAAAATAATATTTATAAAGAAATTGGATGGGAATCTCTTCAAGACCGTCGCCGAAGAAGAAAACTGCAAATGTTTTATAACGTGTATAAAGGAAAAGCCCCTAATTATCTTTGTGAATTGATTCCGCCATCGATAGAAAGTACAACTACATATCCTTTAAGAAATGTTGAAGATATTATGTTACCTTTTTGTAGACTTTCGATAAGTAGTGACTCATTTATCCCATCAACTATTAAGCAATGGAATAGATTGGACATATTCGTGCGAAAAACAGAAACTTTATCAAAATTTAAAAATAAATTAAAAAAGAGTTCTACAGTAGATAATAAAACGATGCCACGTTACTTTGCATTTGGTCCAAGAAACCTTAATATTATTTTAACGCAATTTAGATGTTCATCTACATTCCTTAATTATGATCTCTTTCAAATAAATATTGTATCAGATCCATCTTATCGCTGTGGAAATCTCCGCGAAGATTCTAATCATTTCTTCTTTAAATGTCCTTTATATACAGATTTATGTCACATTCTTAGGAATAGTCTTAGTTGGTTACCAGATGACCTTATGTTGGATCTAGAGATTTTAACATCTGGAAGTATAAATCTGACAAATGAGCAAAATGAAGAAATATTTAGAAATGTTTTTGATTATATAAAAAAGACCAAATGGTTCCTTGTTTAATCATGTGCATGAGCTGTATGTGATCCACACACACACACACACACACACACACATGCATATATTTTGTTTTTCCTTCTTCCTATTTCCCCCTCTTTTAAGTTACAGATGTTTGATTATATATTGTGTAATAATAAATTTGATATTTGCATGCTATGAAATTCTATTGTCTAATATTGTATCTTAGGAGAAGACGATCTAAGTTGGACTAACTTGTGTCTAATCCTTTTTGTGATTTTTTTTTGCAAATAAAATATGTTTAAACAATTTGAATGAATTATCTCAAAACGAAAGTACTATACCAAAGGATTTCAATGTAGCATTTACATGTCAATCGTATAGACGTTGTGCATGCCACGACAAAAAATTAACGCTTGTAATGCGGTATAGATGTATATATTAAGCTGTGTAAGTTCAATGCAATATTTCAAATGCATGCTTTCGAAAGAAAAACACCTTAATACACATTTCGAATGTCAACATGGTCAAAGTTGGTCTGTATAACTGTAAGAAAGTATAACTACCGTTATATGTAAAATTAGTATTAAAATTGTTATAGGTTAAGCACGCAGAACATGCAGAAGGAGAGAGAAAACTTCTATAGAATCTCAACAATTATTGTTGATCACGGAAAGGAAGCGTTGACTTTGTTGCTTCATAATGAACTTAATTCTAGCAATCAAACACTGGAGGATTTTATAAACTTGAACCAGCATGAAATATATCATTTATGCTTTAACAGATATACATGTTGCCAGTGTGTCAACAAAAAATTACCACTTACAGCTCCCGCAAGTAGAGTTCTTCATCCGGATCAATTAAACATATTGTTAGACAAAACTGGACAAACACTATCTTGTCATAATATTAAAAGCGCGGCACAATTCTGTTGTTGTCCGGCAAAAGCCACACTTACAACAAAGCATCTGGATTTAACACTTCTTCGTTGTCTGCTGATTAATTTTGCATCGATCTGTCCTCTGAATAGCAACATTCGACTTGCAGTTGATGGCCTCACTGGATATCGGAACAAATTATATGGACATGCGCAAGAAGCCAGATGTTCTGATTCTGACTATAAACTATACAAAAGTCAAATTGAAACAGTCATTCTCACAATTGCAAAATCATGCAAAAAAGAAAATGAAATGAAACAGAAACTCGTGGATGCTGAAGTTCGACCATTGGATGAAACAATATGTCAACAATATCAAAATTGTTTGTTGTCTGATATTCAGCAAAACGAAGAAATTAAAACGGTAAGCTCAAGTTATAGACAAACGCATTGTCGATAGTTATACTATTTCTATATTCCGATTTCAAAATACCAAAATACACAAAACAGAAAAATAAATGGAGACGACAGTAATATTCATATTCATTTTTATTAATATTCATCACTTTTCAAATATAACTGGTTGCTGTTTGCCTAACGTGTAGTCACATATATGTCATGCCCATGATGAACGAGAACGGGTTAGCAACAAATTAAAAAGTACAGGTTCATAAATGATCAATTAGGATAACTGATGGCACATTTATACTACCATTACTTATGTTAGAACCTTATAACTGATCAAGTACGGACACTGAATGGGATGTTTTAAGGGCTTAAATCATGCAAAAATGGTAGTATATCCTCTTTTCACGAAGCATATTAAACGTCCCCTTTCCGAGCGAACATTATCGTCTTTTTGTATACTCTTATGTTCAACAAAACCAAAGCATTGGTATTACCGCTAGAAAAATGAAGACGTCTCGGTTGTGATGCTTCTTTAATCAAAATGTTCCAAAAGGGGAAAATTGGTTCTTGTAGAGCGAAAATGAAACATAAACAGGAATGTCGAGGTTAAGTACCCAATATCCTTAACGTATATATCTAGGATACTATGAAAACAAGTAGACATTGGGTATACGCTATACGATATAATTAATACGGCACACAAACAGAATAAGTCTGAAGGTCAAAAGACAGTTTGCAACAATAGTTAATATTGATACTAACAACGGGTTAAAGCGTGGTATATGTTTACATTTCTATTACATGAAAATCTTCTGTATTAAATTGTGAATATCTTGGCTTTCATTTTGCATTAGCTTATCATCTTAAGTAATTGTTAGACTCTTTCTTTCCTGTACTCATGACTTTGTTTTGTATTCTACAAACATAACTCTTTAAACTTGGGTAGTGATTAGTTCGATACCGTCTTCTTATTGTATGTCCTCAATTTCTTATATAGGAAATAAATATGCTTAGAGAACAATCTACACAAAACAAAGATCAAATCTTTCAGCGGATCTTAGAAACCGAAAAGAAAATCACCACCAATATCACGTCTCACCATGAAACATTGACGAAAAAAATCGAGGGAATCACTGAAAACTTTACTCAAAGGGATGAAATTTTATATCAACGAATACAAAGTCTTCAGGTTAAAGTTATTGACGAAGTCAACATAAATAGCAAAGAAATTATAAAAACAATAAAATCAGAGACAGAGGATCTACAGATGAAGCATGCTGAATTCATTGGAAATTTAAATCAAACAGAGCACAATTTTCGATCAAAAACAGAAGAACAAATGGAAGGTATTCTGACACAAGTAGAACAGGCAAGACAAGACATAAATGATCAAATTCACAACCTTAGTGATGATGTTAAAGAAATGGTAATCAATCAGGCGATCAAAACAGGAAAATTAGGTAATTCTTATATTTTTAGAATATCTTTAGTTTCAGAAAAAACAATGTCACATAAATTTGCTAAACAAAATCGTATGTTGATGGTTAAGTACATATGAAATCAATTACATACAAACAGTGGAAATAAATGCATATTCCTGACTTGCTACAGGAATTTTCGTATGTAGAAAATGGTGAATAAAATCTGATTTTATAGCTAGCTAAACCTCTCACTTGTATGACAGTCGCATAAAACTCCATTATATTGACAACAATGTGTGAATCAAACAAACAGACACAATTTATATACTGCAGGGTGAATGTTTCAACAAATGCGCTAAGGGTTCAGGGTTAGAGAATATTAACCCTAATTCGCGAATGTCACATTATAAACCCTGAATAACATGACATATTAGACATTGAATATATTACTTTATTTCTGTTTGATAGTCTTTAAATATTTTCTATATAATCTATATAAAATCAGATTTATCGAATTACTATTATTATGAGAAAAGAAGTAAAATTAAAACGTATGGTTGAACATTTAAATGATTAACACTTAATCAAATTATCTTCATTTGTCTTCCAGATGTTAAAAAACAAAATCTGATGGGTGAGATAAATTACGATTTTCAATTTTATGGTGTATTGCGTGTACTTGAATATTATATTTTTCACTTGTTTAGTAAACAAAGAGTCTTCTCAAATTAACCTTGCAGATTATAGAAATGTAAAGATTGACCTTTAAGATCAGAAACATAAAAAGTAAAATAACAAAAATACCGAACGCCGAGGAAAATTCGAAACGGAAAATCCGTAATATAATAGCAATTTCAAAAGTTGAAACACATCAAACGAATGGATAACAACTGTCATATTCTTGACTTGGTACAGGCATTTTCTCATGTAGAAAATGGTGGATTAAATCTGGTTTTATAGCTAGCTAAAACTCTCACTTGCATGACAGTCGAATACAATTCAATTATATTGACAACGCTGTTTTTATGATAAAGGTTTGTCTGTTTAAAATTGGGAATTATGATCATTCTGTAATGCAAATATGTTGAATATGGAAATGGTCCTGGTACAAATAAGGCAACTAAATCTTACTCAACATACCATCTGACAGGAGTATTGATAACAGAGGTCAGGGCTGCAGTATAATGAGTTAGCTATCCGACAAACATTGAAAGGTCAATACGGTGTTCAAAAGTAGAATAGAGTCTACAATATATTAAATTCTAAATCGCCCCTAGTGTGAAATAGTTGTAAATGAATTTAACCAATATTGTCAAATGTGTTCAAGGCTCCGTGTTGATGACCGTACTTTGACCTATAATGGTTTACTTTTACAAAATGTGACTTGGATGGAGAGTTGTCTCATTTTCACTCATATCACATCTTTTTATGTCTAATTAACATTACATTTCATAAAAAAAATCATAATAACCAATAACGAGAATCATGATTTGGGACAGTCATATGATTGTGTAGCGGGGAAAATCTAGCATATTTTAGTCTCAACAATTCCTATCTTAGTTTCTGGAGGAGGAACAAGAACATTTGTCTATAAACATACACAAATTTATTTGGACTATCTTTTGTAAACAGACTGGAAAACTTGAGTAGCCTTCAGTGCATGCCAAAGAGGTATTTAAAGAGGAACAGGAATGAATCAATATAATAATAACACTATAAACATTCAATTGTGAATAAAAAATAGATTTCTAAAATTCGAGTAGAATTTGTTCTGACAAACTGGATGTAATGATAAACTGTTATATAATTATTTGTTTTTTCATTGATATAGATCACAGCAATGCGATTATTCAAGGTCACCTATATGATGAAACATTTGTTAAAACAGCTGCACTCGAGAAGGGGAAAACTATTCTAAATGAACAAAGCCTCCTGATTATGCTAGGAAAAGGAGGTTCTGGTAAAACACAAATAGCGCTGCATTTAGCATCTGTTTACAAAGATGAAGGATACATTCCGCTTTTCTTTTCTGACAAAGATGTAATTAAGTACAGAGATCTAATTTCGATGGCCGAAAAAAGCATTGTAATTGTTGAGGATCTTTTTGGTAGGACAAATGTTGACTTTTATGAGGATAGCCACAGAAATATTCTGGATATTTTGTCAAATTGTTTAAAGGCATCTACACTTTTGAAAATGGTATTTACAATACGAAACGACCCAAAATGCAGTGAAAACATTTTAGCAAAGCACGATATATTTGATAAAAAATGTATTGTTAATTTAGATTATGATAACAGACTATCAGACAAAGAACGAATGACCATTATTTTGAGTCATATGAGACATAATTCAATAATTCCTTGTAAAAGTCCAGTAAAGATAGATATATGTCTTGACGATGACCCCTATCCTAGCTGTTCATCTGAATGTACTGCTGATGTCATTATGTTGCCAGACAACAACACTCAAATATGTACTAACACAGTTTACGAATGCTGTATGTGTGACACATATTTAGGATTTCCAGCAACTTGTCGGATGTTTTGTCATGATAAATTTCTGACGGTTCTTGGTGTGGCATATTTCCGTAACACGAATCAATCGCTGAAAAATAAGGTCACAAATCTGTTCTCAGACGGCTTTGACAAATTATCCTGTCGGTATCAATACTGTGTATTGGTATATACTGCTTTGAAATGCAATTTTTTCGATAACAACATTTTAGGAAGCCATATAGAAAATGATGAATTGTTCAAGAAGATATTTTCCATATTTGATGACAAGAAAACAAAGATACGAAAAACATTAGTCCAACAAGCTATTCTTACCCTTGAAGGAGATTACCTAATAAAAAGCTCTAAGTTTGGTGAGTTTTACCAAAATTGGCTTACATATCCAAGAGGAAACGCTTATATGTTTAAACATCAAGCTGTCCACGATGCTGTTCTTGTCTCATTTGGTAACGAATGTCCCGAAACATTGATGAAACTGGATATCTGCGATCTTGGATTTATTTTACAATATATAAGACCAGGCTTGAAACAACCTGATTTCAATTCATCCGTCCTACATGTTGATCCAAAACTTCTTATTGATAAGCTGATCTTCTTTCTAGATGAAGATATATCATTCAAAATCAATTTTTCCTCAGTATTTCAGATTACAGGAATTTTTAATCCATGGAATCCGCCGCCACCTGACTGTGCAAATGATGGAGACAGTTTTCAGGAACAATCAATATTTGAAGAAAGCAAAGACTATGAAAGTACTGATGACGAAAATAGTTTATTTGATTCAGAGTCTGAAGATTCCAATCCTGCCAGCGATACAAATGACACAAATGATGACAATGATGACGGAGAACCGTGGTTCCGTGGTTATCCAGAACTGATAGGGGAATATATTAGGAAATGCATTATAGAAAAAAGATACATCTCATTTGTTAAACTATTTCTTGAAAGACTCTCTACACGTGTACCATCACCAGAGCAAATGAATGAGTTTCTTACTGGACTTACAAGAAGGGGCACCTGTTTGATGAACTTAACAGTCAATTCCGACATCATTCGTGATTCTGCTTTAAAATATGGTGATGTAAATGTCCTTTGTCTAATTTTTAGACCAAAGAGTTCGACTACCAAGCATTATAATTTTTATGAACTAGATGATAGCGTACTTCAGGACAAACTTATTGCGATCATGGACGAAAATCAAAGTTATAAAGTTATAACGGAAATTGGAAACTTTTTGTATAGAATTGGAATTCAAGATGAAAACCATGAATTTGTCCAAAGATTTTTGAACTGCATTATAGATAAATATAACAAAAGAGAAAATATTTATAAAGTCCGATATATTATCGATGGTATGTCTAGCAAAGGCAGCCGAACTGACGTTGTTCCCCATTTTATAGAATTCACGCAAAAACACTTAATTACCTATGGAAGTATTAAAGCTATCATTGGTCTTTGGGAAGTACTAAACACTGAAACACACAACAATCAGACAGTAAGTTATATACAATTAATGGCAGTTCTAGAAAATAAATTCAAACATCATATACTGCTAGGCGCAGATGTTGAACATGGAGTAAAATACAATCTACAAACACAAGAATATGGAGCATGTATATTCGATCTAGGTATAAAAATTCAAGACAACAAGTTAATCGAAGAGCTGATATTAAAACTGATTGAAATTTACGAAGTGTTTCTTGGAGGTAGATTGACTTATCATTTTGAATCACCAAACAGTTTCCATTTCTTAGTTTATTTCTATAATGGATTTACTAAATTTGATTCGCGAAAAGAAGATGCAACTAAAATGTGTCCTTTTGGAATGAAAAAACTGCATTGTCATTTGAAGCGATATAAAATATTTTTAAAGAAGGTAAGAGAAGCAATAAGCCATGCCAATCAGTCGGAGGAAGACGTAGTTAATATTGAGCTTTTGTGTATACTTAGGAACATGAACATACTCAATCCTAAGAGCAGTGACCGTATTAGCGAGGATGATGACGATGACGATGGTGATCAAGCATTTTAAAACAAGTTCGTTATTGAAAATCAAAGATTCGTTGACTGTTGTTTCAAGTTTAAAGAATTATATTTCATTCTATTTTCAAAACGTTTAGTTTTTTCACATACACATTAGACAGTTGGATAGTTGCTAAAATGGCTTCAATTAAAATAGTTGAAGGTCAATAACAATCCGACATAGTTCTAGACTGTTTTATTATAACTTCTTTAGTCAAAGCTGACCTTAGATGAAATTGATATATTTCAAGTGGCTTTTATTCATAACGTTCCTAACGTTTCTATTTATAAATATACCCATGTGTTTAAAATGATTGGGTTCATTATGAAGGTAAATTCAGAAAAAAGTAAAACAGTTATGTTTTGAAAAGGTTTATGAAATAAATTGTATTTCTTTTTTTTTTTGTAGCAAATCTGAAAATAGTTTAAAACAAAATGTTATTATGGCATTACTAAGGGAAAATGGAGGCACTTATATGCATTTTATAAATAATTACACAAGTTTACAAAACACAAATTATCAATCATTAACATGCCAATTTTGTATCTTACAAATAACAATTAAGATACTTCGTATCAAATAAAAATATTGCTATCAACTTTTTAGCCAAGTAGTCAGCACTTCTGTGTTGACATGAATTATCATTGATATGGTCATAATTATAAATTAACTGTTTACAAAGCTTTGAATTTTTGAAATACTAAGGCTTTTCTGCCTCAGGAATAGATTACCATAAATTCTTAGCTGTATTTAGCAAAACTGTTAGGAATTTTTGGTCCTCAATGCACTTCAACTTCGTACTTTATTTGGCCTTTTTAACTTTCTTTAATTAGAGCGTCACTGATTAGTCTTTTGAAGACGAAACGCGCGTTTGGCGTAAATATAAAATTTTAATCCTTGTATATATGATGAGTTTATTTACAACCACTGGGTCAATGCCACTGCTGGTAGAAATTTAATTCCCCGAGGGTATCACCAGCTCAGTAGTCAGTACTTCTGTGTTGACATGAATTATAATTGATATGGTCCTAATTATAAATTAACTGTTTACAAAACTTTGAATTTTTATAAATACCAAGGCTTTTCTACTTCTGGAAAAGATTACCTTAGCTGTATTTGGCAAAACTTTTAGGAATTTTTGGTCCTCTATGCACTTCAGCTTCGTACGTTATTTGGCCTTTTTAACGTTTTTAATTAGAGCGTCAGTGATGAGTCTGCTGAATACGAAACGCGCGTCTGGCGTTAATATCAAATTTTATCTATGATGAGTTTATTTATCATTATTGTATTGATATTTGTATGTATTGAAGTTATATTCTGTGACTTTACAACATTTAGATAATTCAAATAGAGGTGAAAGATACCGTCGGTTGAACACAAGCTGACAATGCCTTGGCAAACAACTAAGTACGATCAAAGACAAACGAAATTATACAAAACACAACATAGAAAAATAAAGACTGAGCAACACGAACCCCAACCGAAAACGGGGATGACCGTATGTGTACTGCTGAATAATTAAGCAGAACCTGCTCTACACGTAGCACCCGTCATGTTTCCTGGGACATATCCGTTGTCATCAGTGAAACAGTTATTCTAAAACGATCAACGAACAGGTGATGGCGTAAGTAAAATTTTTGGAGAGATGATTTCAACTTCACCACTTTGTAATATTGGTGTATTCCTTGTGAGCAGCCAATCTCTATTAAGGAAATTTATCAAGGAAATCATGATAGGAAATATAACCCATGGAAAAATATAAAAACAAAAACACTGAACTCAGAGGACAATTCTAAACGGAAAGTCCCTAAACAAATTGAAAAATCAAAAGTTCATCACAACAAGTGATATCTACTGTTATAGTACTGACTTGGTACAAAAGATACAATAAATATCGAATGCAATGACGAAAACATACAAGATAAGTAGAAATGACACGCTCTCTGATCAAGGCATTGTCGTTGCAGTTTGTTTTTAATAAATCATCAGTTTTGAATTGAGTCACAGTTAATTCAGTTCAAGTAAAACGACACTGCCATTCAATTGTTCGAATACACTTTAACAATAATATATAACTAAAAATTGAACTCAAAAATGATTATATAATGTGTGGGTTAATATCTAGTACGCATTCATTACATCACGTATCTAGTAACCATTGAGATAGAATATAATAGATTATACACAAAAGATGGCTGTATGAAATATGCATTTTATATTAAAGATATGATGTCTGTCATAGATTTAAGGTAAATTGTCCCATTTGCATACATTTATAATTTGGAACAACGCATATTATATGTAGATACGTTCATATAGTTGATTTCTAGTCATACTGAGTTGCGATTCGTGCTTTATATGCCTAGCGTAATGAATAGATCACATCACTAAGCTGGTTCCAATCCGGAAACAAAACGTCGTAAACATTTCTGTTTATATTGATATAATCTCAATTGATTGTGTCGCTAGGTCACATATACAATACGTGGTCATTTCCATAATCAAATATTCTCATTTAATTTTTGTAATTAAATATATAGAGAAATTCACGGAAGGCATAGCAACTAATTACAATTTTGGTCTCACAGTTTGTCAACTGCCTTATTTCTATGACGTTCAAAACGTCACAATGAACACTGGTTACTTCTTTGCTACACCACCACGTTCAGTTAATTTCTGAATAGCAGAATGAAGCTAACAATGTGATTTGTTTGTTTTGTTTTAACTTAATAGGTATTAGGAAAATAGACTTCATACTCTTTCTGTGTATTTTTAAATTGTATTTTGTAACATTTTTAACATGCCATTGAAAATATCAATATTATTTGAACGATTTCATAGCTTGATACGTTATCATTCTTGCAAATAACATCAAATTCCTAATATGTCTTTCTTGTAAGCTTGCAAATTTTCTTTTCGTCTGATGCAACGCCTCCTCCATGGTTGCTATGTGTGACATCTTGACGTTGAGTAATTTTAATACTGACTGTCAATAAACATATAAATAGAAACATATCATCGATTTACTTATAAATAGAAACAAGGCTTTGGATACATAAAATAATCTTTGAAACATGTGATCGTAATATCCAATGAAAAAAGTAGAATGCTACACCCTGTGTAATATTATAGTTTATAAACGTTTATCGATTTTCATATTTAAGTTCTATAAATAGTTTATTGGTAGTTAATCATTAGCTATTTATTCTATGACGACCTGTTCCTGTTTACACTGCACACATTAATATAAAGGATAACGTAAAGGGACTTGACGACGTGGTGATTAAACAGTAACTAAAATGTTAGTGTTAGATACATTTATAACACATTTGATATATAAATCTACAACTATTTTAAACAAACCACATTGTTAGCTTCATTCTTCTCTTCTGCATCAAAGAATTAACCAGTGTTCTTTAGGATGTTTTGAACGTAATAGAAATAAGGCTGTTCACTACTTTCACTTTCGCTCTCACTGTGAAACTAAGTGTGATTTCTGTTTGTTTTCCTTTGAATATCTATATATATTTATTTACATAAAATAAAATGTTAATATTAGATAATTGAATGGTGCACGTATTGTATATGTGATCTAGCATCAAAAATCAAATTGAGATTATATCAATACAAAGAGAGATGTTTAAGACGTTTTGTTCAAAAGACCATTAAGGATTGAAACCAGCTTAGTGATGTGAACTGTTCATTTCGCTAGGCTTATAAAGCAAATATCGCAACTCAATGTGACCAGAAAACAACTTCATGAACGTATCTACATAAATATGCGTTATAAATCTATGAAACTGGGACAATTTTTCTTAAATCTTTAAAAACAAATTCATATCTTTATATTAAAATGCATATTTAACAAAGCAATCCTTTGTTTATAATCTATTATATTCACTATCCCAATGGTTACTAGATACGTGATGTAGTGACTGCGTTCTAGATATCAACCCAAAATTATTTAATCATTTGAAAGTTTAATTGTCAGTGATATATTAATGTTTAAAGTTTATTCGAACAATTGAATGACAGTGTCGTTTTACCTGATCTGAAAAAACCGTGACTCATTAAAAAAAAAAAAAGCAATTAAAAAAAAACAATAACGACAATACGTGATTCAGATAGCACGCACATACTCGTTTTGTATATTTTCAATATTTTATTCAACATTAATTTTATCTTTTGCAACTTCTTAAAGATCTACGCAAAACAAAACTTTAATGTGAAAAAATAAAAATGTCACTTAATTTAACTACTCATCTGTATATGTATTAGATATAAGCCTTTCATATCTGAGGGGGGGGGGGGGGGGGGGGGTCAGTGCAGAAAATATGAGAGGATCACATCTGATAATCTAATTTTTTTTCAAGATCAATTAGTTTTGATTAAAAAGGAAAAGTGTCATTATCTCAAAATATCCAGATGCAGTAACACTGCAAAAGATGTTTTGTAGTTATAGAAAAAAATTGAAAACAACACGTTTAATAATTTCATGCGTCCGAAGCGCTTTTCTGGATTTACCTTCATCAGGAACGCTCAAAGCTAAACATTTGAAATCCGAGATATTTTGTAGTTATAGATTTGGAATTCAAACTTAATTGCGTCTATTTTTCTGTCATCACTACTTTTGTTTGGCAATATAGATCCCTGTACTACTGTGTCTTTTTCTGGTTTAACTGCCAATAATCTTAACATTCTGCTGAGGTGACAGATACCAGTTATTTTAAAGAAACCTTTAGAACTTTTGGTTTCTGAATTAGGTTTTCCTGAAAAATCATTCAGCTAATTTACAAATGAAATTTATGGTTTAGATAAATAAGGTATGTACATGTTTTTGTGAATATATAGTAAAACTTAACACTTGGATGCCTAACAAGCATCGAAATCTTACAATCTATAAATACGTTGCAAATAAGGCAAAAATGTGATGCTCAAATATAAATCTAATCCTCAAAATTCTTAAGCCTACAATTTACATTCATATGGTGTTTTTTTTTCAGTCCCTGATGTAGTCATATATCTTATTACGTAGCTATAATAAAATCTTTTTGAGGGACACATGTTCTGGTTCACTAAAACTGGTACTTACTACATGATAAAAGATAACACTTTTATTGAAATATTCTTATTTAACATTTCATAACATAACATAACAATCTTTCATTTGATATTGTATCTATTGTCAATTTCAAACAAGATCCTTTTTGGTTACGTTGCTCTTCAAATGTTTGGGTTCTTATACATTCTTGGTTTTTATGTGTTCGGCTTTTAGCGTTTTTGATGAGGGTGGGTACAGAGGAGCGCTTCAGACGCATGATATTTATAGCGTGTTGTTTTTATTTTAAAAACTATCTGAACACACTTCCCATAACTTCTTCATTTTATACGTCAATGAATCTTGGTTAATTCAGACGTAATGAAGAAGTTAAAAAAAAAACGATGTTGCCAGTGTATTAAATTTAAAAAACAAACGAACAATCTAAATACGCTACAAGTACAAATCAAAAGATGCATGATTGATGGCAGTTGCAATAAAAACCAACAAAATGACCACAGAACACTGATGTTATTAGTTATATATCGTATCAAGTAACTAGGACACTGTGTAATGAGTTTATCTTTCCGATTATCTTAAAATGTGGAATTTAGGGTAGACCTGTGGCCTATTAAAGGGATCAAGTCTTCAATATGAAAAAACTACTCTCATTATTCTTTACAACACAAATGCCAAAAATAACTATTTGTTAGCTTTTAATGTGTTTTTTGAATTACATAATTCAGTACAAATTTTATACACTCGTTAAACTCGAATACAATATGTATCTCACAGTAAACAGGATAAAAATGATCTTCAGTAAAACGTTCGAAAATCTTATATACCTACATGGAGTTATTTTCTATCAGAACAAGAGGTAATTCTTTTGAAGAATCAACCCGGACGATACCAAGTTTCAATGCAATCTGCTTCAAGGCATACAATAATGACCTGTGTTAGGTCATTAATTTCCTGCTTAAAATGCAAACTAAAACTTACTTAAACATTTAATTCGGTAGATAGTTATCGTGTGATGTTGCCAATTGAGGTAACTTTTTGATTTTCCATATTTGATAGGTTTCAGGCAGAAACAATCTTTTCCTTCGTTCGTGTGTTGGAATTTGAAAATCTTATTTATTTACACTGTTTTAGAATCATACTTTGACATATGGATATTCGGTTTTCATGTTACATGTACGTGTATCATGATTTCGTGCTCTCTTCATGCATTTTTAAAAATCATCTTGATATATCTTTTACTCTGTCTAGTTTTTAATTGACCCAATATTCTCATTTTCTATAGAATAATACCTGCGTACTTTAAAATGGGGAAGGGATATACTATATAATTCTGATTCTGAGTTTTAAAAAAAATTGTACTGCCAGACAAAAGAGAGAAAACAGTTATCCTAAATATATAGTTTGTTCAAAAACTTGTTGAAAAATTAATCTGATAATTGTATACAATTCTGTTCTAAAAAAGAACACAAAACCTAATTAGCATTCTCCGTTCATAAATAAAGTTGATACAAAAATTACTTACAAAGTGACTTGTATTTTCATACACCGCAACAGTTTATGTGTGTCTTGATTTGTGCAGTAACTGTTGCAGTAACTGTTATATTTCTATTGTCACTGGACAATGATTTCTATGATTTATATCTAGATAAATTAGTGAGTTTTATAAAAGACCCACAGGGCTTATAAAAACCTGAACGCATCTGGAAAGAATATCCATCCTTATTATAGTCGGTAAAATAGGATAGGAATACTGCAATTCTTTGCAGAAAATAATGTTTGTTGACGGTATATATAAGTCCGATAATGCTTATTATAAGGTTTTCTCGGGGAGTCAGGATTGACCTCTGTCGGTCAAGAAAACCCTAAAATTATGCATTATCTATATCATTATTGTCTTTCTTTATACATGTATATCAATGTTTATTTTAGGTTAAGCACACAAAAAGAACGGGAAAACTTTTACAGAATCTCAACAATAATTGTTGATCATGGAAAATATTCATTGACTTTGTTACTGGATAATGAACTAAGCTCTAACAAACAAACTCTGGAGGATTTTATTAACTTAAACCAGCATGGAATATACCATTTATGTTTTAACAAATATACATGTTGCCAATGTAAACATGGAAAATTACCGCTTACAACTCCCGCGAGTAGAGTTTTGCATCCGGATCAATTAGATATACTGCTAGACTAAAAAGGAAAAACACTGTCCTGTCATAATATAAAAAGCGCGGCACAATTCTGTTGTTGTCCAGCAAATGCCACTCTTACAACAAAGTATCTAGATTTAACACTTCTTCGTTGTCTGCTGATTAATTTTGCCTCGATCTGTCATCCGAATAACAACATTCGACTTGCAGTTAATGACCTCATTGGATATCGAAATAAACTGTATGGACATGCACAAGAAGCCAGATGTTCAATTACTGATTATTCACTATATAAAAATCAAATTGAAGCAGCTATTCTTACAATTGCAAAATCGTGCAATAAAGAAAATGAAATGAAACAGAAACTCAAAGATGCTGACGTACGACCATTGGATGAAACAATATGTCAACAATATCAAAATTGTTTGTTATTTGATATTCAGCGGAACGAAGACATCAAAACGGTAAGCTTAACATTTTGTACAAATGAATTATAAACATCTTCTCATTTATTCTCGATGGGTTATATATAAAAAAGAAATGCAATGAAAACATGAAGAAAAGAATAGACGACGGACAGTTATATTCATATTCATATTAATATACTATCCAATCAAATGGATAATGCATTGTTCGCTTAACGTCCAGTGACAAATTTATCATGCAAGATTTGAAAGACCGATGATTAAGGGCGGGAAATTTAGACTGTCATTTGGGGAAAAGACTATGCCAATTTCTGCATAAGAAAATGTGTGTACCAAGTCAGGATTATGACAGTTGTTATCCATTTGTTTGATGATTTTGCCATTTAATTAGGAACTTAATGTTTTGAATTTTCCTCGGAGTTCGGAATTTTTGATATTTTACTTTCTAGATAGGGGAGAACTTTTTCAATGCAGCATATCACTTATGGTAGCAGAAAAAAATCAAAATGCGCACAAAGCAACATCATTTCTTCAAGATGCATATGATTTAACTTTCGTTAGCAGTTAGGTTTGGGTTTGGGTCATGGCCAGATATCAATATTCACAATCGGTTGTTAGTGTATGTATACATTTGTTTGTATATATTTCTCTTGCATTAGATAAAAATCTTCCGAGTTATTTCGTCCTTTTGTCATTGTTTTAATTTCATAGTATTTGTAATGTATACAAACATGGTGACTTCAACTTGACACCTGTCTAACTGTTGTAAATATTCAAATTTCTCCGCAGGAAATAAAGAGTTTACGAGAGCAATCTAAACAAAACGATGATCAAATTGTTCAGTGCATCTTGGAAACAGACAATAAAATAACCACCAATATTTCGTCTCACAATAAAACAATTGCAGACCAAATCGAAGGATTGCAGTTAAATTTTGCTAAAAGATATGATATTTTATACGAACGAATACAAAGTATGGAGGTTACGATAAATGATGAGGGTAACAAACACACAAAAGACATTATAAAGACGATAGAAACAGAGAAAGATAATCTACAGGTGAAGCATGAGGAACTCATCGGACTTATACATAAAACAGAACAGAGTATTCAAACAAAAACAGAAGAACAAACAAAAAATGTTCTGACACAAGTAGAAGAAGCAAGACAAGATATAGATGATAAAATTCTCAATCTGGGTGATGATATTAAAGAATCGATAACCTTTGAGGCGGGAAAGTTGGGAAAATTAGGTATATCTAATATCTTAAAATAAACTAAGATTATCGTAAGATGATTTCATGAAAATTCACAAAGCTAGATTGTATGCTGATGAAATTCCATTACCTTATGAATCTTTGTGGTTTTGGACGTTATTTACGCCGATTGATCTCCGGAATCTTATTCATAAGAATCATAGGACATGGTATTTTGGTCATAACGTTGCCGATCTGCTGACTTACAATATATTCATATTTTACCACGGTTGTGTAATTAGAGTGTATGATGAACGTCATTTTAGAATAAAAAATAATCTTGACATTTATAGTCACCTGAAAATTACAAAGAATGAAGCAATCACTAAACATATATTTATGCCTGGAAAAGCATTGATATGTTAACGTTTTATGTTTAAATGCAGTGAACATTGACCTATTACTGTATGTATTACACTGAATTTGTCATTTTGTAGGTAAAGGCAAAAGTAGTATACCGCTGTTTGAAAGTCATAAATCGATTGAGAGAAATCAAATCCGGGTTACAAACTAAAACCGAGGGAAACACATCAACTATAAGAGGAAAACAACGAAACACCAGAAACACTAAAGTGCAACAAAAAACCAAACGACAATGTAACACACACAGAAACGAACTATAAGATAACAACTGCCATTTGTAAGAATGTGCAATGGACTATACAATGGTTTAAAACTGAATACGACCACAGTCATATTATTATGAAATGGCATTTAAACTTTCATTTGAAAATCCAAATGATTTACATTTTAATTATATTATTTTTTGTTGTCTTTCAGATGTAAGAAAACAGAATCTTATAGGTGAGATAATTTACGATTTGTCTTTATTAAAACATTTTCCTTACATGTACATCATGATTACTTATTTAAGAATTTAAGTAATCACAGATACATGTACACAAAACAACAAATAACACAAAACATCACTATGAAGTAATTGATTAAATAAACGAAGCCCAGACAATACTTTAATGTGATCCCATCAATTAATATAAAGTTTCTCCCACCGGTTTCTACTCCTTCGAAGCAAATAATGGAAAATGTCTGTAACGGAAACTCGATATATACTCGATCAAATGGCGCTTACTAAGTTGGATTGATCCTGCTCCATATATATTGGACCCGTGTGATGTATAAACTGTGTTTTACTAAATCCATTTATATGATATAAAATATGTTCCATTTTTAGACAAACGGTTATCTAAAATGTTGCAACAATGTTCATTAAATTTTGGTTTTTACTGTTTTCTCTAGTGAATTGTTTCATACTTTTCATGTCGGGGCCGTTTATAGCAGACTATATGATTTTGCGTTCGTTTTATATGTTTGAGCTTTTGATTTCGCCATTTGATGAGGGATTTTCCGTTTTGAATTTTGAGTCCGGTACTTTGTAACCTGAAAATGAGTGATGGAAGATAAAAAAAATATTCGAGCACATCTGTATTGTGATAACCATATATTTAATTGTTTTTTACTGTACGTTTTCAATGTTACTATTCTCTAAAATCAGTTTGACAATGAATTGTGTTTTAATATTTGGAAAGTGTAACACAGAAAAGAAACTTGCTGTAATGAAAGAATATAATGTAAATCCTGTTTTTTTAAATTGTTTTATAGATCACAGCAATGCGATTATCCAGTGTCATCTGGAAGATGAAACATTTGTTAAAACAGCTGCACTTGAGAAGGGGAGCACTATATTGAAAGATCAAAACCTCTTAATTCTCGTAGCGAAAGGAGGATCTGGCAAGACACAAATAGCTCGTAATTTAGCATCCATTTACCGAGATGAAGGATACATTCCGCTTTTCTTCTCGGACAAAGATGTTATCAAGTACAGAGATTTAATATCTCTAGCCGAAAAACAAGTTGTCATTGTTGAAGATCTTTTTGGCAGAACAAACGTTGACTTTTACGAGGATTACCACAGAAATATACTTGATATTTTGTCAAATTGTTTAAAGAAGTCTTCGCATTTGAAAATGATATTTACAATCAGAAATGACCCGAAATGCGAGGAAAACATCTTGGCAAAGCACGACATATTTCATAAAAAGTATATTCTCAATTTGGATTATGATTCAAGACTTTCAGATAAAGAACGTATTCTCATTCTTTTGAGTCATATGCAATATAATTCAATAATTCCATGCAAAAGCCCAGTAAAGACAGATATATGGTTTGACTACAATCCCATACCATGCTGTTCGTCTGAATGTACTGCTGATGTTCTAAAGTTATCAAACGATAACACTCAAATATGTACCGACATATTTTATGCATGCTGTATGTGTGACACATTTCTTGGATTTCCGGAAACTTGTCGTATGTTTTGCAGCGATAGATCACTGACATTTCTTGGTGTTGCATATTTCCGTAACACGAATAAATCCTTAGTTGATAAGATAAACTGTCTGTTCTTAAAAAGCTTCGATAAATTATCATGTCGATATCAGTACTGTGTATTGGTTTATACTGCTTTAAAATGTAATTTCTTCGATAACAATATTTTAGGAAGCCATATAGAAAAAGATGAATTGTTCAAGAAGATATTTTCAATATTTGATGACAAGGAAACAAAGATAAGAAAAACATTAGTCCAACAAGCTATACGTAAACTTGAAGGTGGATATCTTATCAAAAGCTCACAGTTTAGTGAGTTTCATCTGGATTGTACATTTCTTCCACGTGGAAATGCCTACATGATAAAACATCAGGCCGTTTGTGATGCTGTTCTTGTTTCATTTGGTAACGAACGTCCCGACATATTACTCGATATGGACATATGCGATCTTGGATTCCTTTTAAATTATGTCAGACCAAGCATCAAACCACCTGATGCTAATTCTTCCGTCATCCATGTTAATCCTAAGCTAGTCCTTGATAAGCTATTTCATTTTCTGGAGATGGATATTTCTTTTCACTCCTTGAAATTAGAAAAAATAATAAGTATATCCCATCCATGGCGTCCTATGCCAATTGATGGTGAAGATGATGAAGACGATAATCAAGAACAAAGAAAGTTTGATGAACGCGATCTATTTGAAAATACTAATGACGCCAATAGATCACACGATGAACAGACAGAAGAAATTGGCAGTGATAAAAGTACCGATGATGTAAATGTCTTACAAGATTTACAGACAGAAGATCTTGGTGGCGATACGGATGATATCAATACCTCACTCAATCTTCAGACAGAAGATGCTGGCAGCGATGAAGGTGACTCAGATGACGAATATGACGAATATGAAGATCAACAGTTTAGTGAAAATGTAGGTCGATTTTTACGTGGCTATTCAGAACAGATAGGGGAATACATTCGAAAATGCATTATTGAAAAGAGATATTATTCATTTGTCAAAACTTTTCTCGGAAGACTTTCAAAAGTGTCACCACTACCACTAGATCAAATTACGAATTTTCTTAATGGACTAACTAGAAGGGGCACCTGTCTGATGAACTTAGCTATCAATTCTGACATCATCCGTGATTTTGCTTTGAATTATGCTGACATAAGTGTCCTTTGTCTACTTTTTAGACCAGAGAGTTCGAATATAAAACATTGCAAGTTTTATAAGTTAGACGATAAATCACTCCAAGACAAACTATGTGCGATCATCGACGGAAATAAGAAATATAAAATTATTACAGAAATTGGCAAATTTTTATACAGAATAAGAGTTCAAGAAGAAAATTATGAATTTGTCAATAGATTTTTGAACAAAATTCTAGATGAATATCAGAATCGAGATAATCTGTATAAAATTCGTTACATCATCGACGGTATGTCCAGCAAAGGCAAACAAACGGATGTTGTTTCTTATTTTAAAGAATTCATGCAAAAATATCTATTAGCCTACGGAAGTATTAAAACTATCATTGGCCTTTGGGAAGTACTAAACACTGAAACATTCAAAAGCAGTCAGCCACTAAGTAATCCACCTTTGATGGTTGTTCTGGAAGATAAGTTCAAAAGTCACATGCTGTTCAGCACAGATATAGAACATGGAGTAGATTATAAAATACAGACACAGGAGTATGGTGCTTGCGTTTTCAATCTCGGTTTGAAAATTCAAGAAAACAAATGTATTGAAGATCTGATATACAAACTTGATGAAATGTACAACATCTATATTCATGGTCCATATTTATTGAATTCTCCTAACAATGTTCACTTCTTATCTTATTTCTATAAAGGATTCACAAACTTTAAAATGCGAAAAGATGAGGCATTAAAACTGTTTCCTTTGGGAATGGAAAAAATGAGTAGTCATATCAACCGGTATAAGGCATTTTTAAAAACAGTAAGAGAAGCAAAACTTCATCAGTTGGACGGAGACGATTGTTGTGTAGAGTTTTTCAATGTATTAAGGAACATTAACATCCTCGATCCAAACATTGACCATTTTAATGCATATATGTTTCTTTAAATGATGGGCTATTTTGAAATCGTCTATTCAAGCTTTATTTCATTATATAGCTATTGCCTAATTCTTCTAATCAATGTCACGTACGTACGCACGCATGCGCACATGCCAAATTGTATACATCACTTGCTGCTTCAATGTTTTTCATCAAATTACATTGGAATTTTATAACAATATTAAAATGTTCAATATTTTACACATAACCAAACTTTTCTTTCTTGTTAAGCATAAATGATGAACACAGATGCCAAAATTTCTTTGTTTTGTTTAATCCATGGTATATAAAGGCAACAGTAGTTTATCGATGTTCAAATATCGTAAATCGATTGAGAGAAAACAAATCCGTATACAAACCAAAACCGCGGCAAACACATCAATTGTAAGAGAAAAACAAAGAAACAACAGGAACACCAGAGTGCAACATAAACAAACGCCAACATACATGGAAACGAACAATTTGATAACAACTGCAATCTTCCTGACTTAGCACAGGATATTCGAAGAATAAATGGTGAGTTGAATCTGGTTTAATGGCGTGCCAAACCTTCCACTTTATGGCAATGTTAAAAAATATCGCTAAAACACTACGTGACAGAAATACAGCACAAACACACGTAAGATCATTCATAACAGAAAAAGGCACACAGAAATAATATAATAGTCCACACAACATGCAAACCGTAGAACAACAATGAACATATTCCATCAACGACAAAAACCACAGGGTCTCAAGAAACAGTGACGCGCTTACGTAACTAACATGCAATCTCGAATCTCGAGTCTAATGTAGAGGAAACGCACGCCTGGCGAATCAAACTATACGTCGTCACTGTTGGTGTTCATGAGATTCCCTCAGTTGTTTGTTTGGTCTTTATTTTTATTTGTTGATTTGATTATATAGGTAAAGTGTAGTGCCTCGAATCTCATTACAAAATACAAAAAGGCTAAATATTATCAAAATTCTGAACTTTTGATCGACCACTTATCTATTGATTGTTAGTTTACACATGCAGCTTTCATATGTGTATCCTCTCTTTATCCCTCTAGTCGACTTGTGTCTGTACCCATATGCAGAAATTTATTCTGAATTGGAGACACGAATGGAAAACAACTTTAATTTGTTTTTCCTTTCTTCAATTGTATTAGGTTGTCTTATAAATCAATAATCTATTGAGCAAATTCTTATTACACTCTATATATCAATATGAATTAATTTAATACCAATTTTACTGCATCAATCAACATTATGACAGTTAAAGTATCTTCAGTGACGCTGCTTTAAATATATTTGTAAATGAAATATTAAAATTGAACGTGAAAGTCCAAACAGCTGATAAAGAAAATTATTACATTGGTTACAATGAATTACATTGATTTCCCAATGAAATAAAAACCTATAATTTCACATGTAAAATAAACGTGGTTATATCACTCCTCTAACGTCATACAACAATAGGCGTTGTCAAGACGTCGATAACGTCGGATCAAAACAAATTGTGAATGCGCAGAAAAAATATAGTTCCTTACATTTTATTCTTTTAATTTCATAAAAAAGCCATTTGCCAATTTGATAAAAAGAATAACTAATCAAAGAATTAAAATATCGAAAAATATTCAGCTCGTGACCGAACAACACTGATAATTAACTCATGCGAAACGCGCATTCGTGAATTAATGTGTCGTTCGGTCACTCGTAGGATACTTTTCTCTATTTGAATTCTTCGATGAGTTATTCTATATTTATCAAAAATACAGAGCTTATAATTTGCACGACAGATGCGCGTTTTTTCTACATAGAATTAAATTTATAGAAACTTAATATATCAATGATATTAAATTATTAAATTATTTTTCTGTGTTGTGTTTTGTTTTGTATACTATTGTTTGTCTGTTTGTTCTTTTTTTTAGCCAGGCATTGTATGTTTATTTTCGAAATATGAGTTCGAATGATCTCTGGTATCGTTCGCCACTCTTCGATAATGATATCGTGAACATGTACTATGACCCAATTTGAACTTGACTGTTAAACGTGTATCAATACGCTGCACCGTTTATCAAGATCGGGCATATATAAATACACTGTTTGATAAAGTATGAGTATGGTGTATCGTGGTATACTTTGATGTATGAATAACTGCCCGCCATATTCAGTGGTCGTCGAAGAAACTAATTACCGTACAACTTATAAAGGACCGCTTGACTGTTAGTCCAATTTCTAGTAAGTGGTGAACAATTACACGCTTATTTTCAGAAGAACTATGAAGTAGTGTGTCCGTAAAACATGTTAAGGGGCGCTTGGTTGCTAGGGGAAATATACCGTTAGTGGTAAATAACTACGTACGAGCATACGTTTAGTAGTATCTGACGTAGTGCAACCGTATAACTTAAAGGGGCGCTTGGCTGCTATTCATTTACAAATACGCAACCCGTTTGTTAAAATTAAGATGTAGTTTCCCGAACAATCACTCTCGCTCTTGACTGTTACGTTTTCTTATTTTTCTTTTTTGTATTCATCATAATAGCACATGCTGTTAACAGATTTCTTCACTGGTACAGCTATTTACAGAATACAGTTCTCATGCTGTTTAGGTGTGTACTGATCTATATTGTATATTACATTCACCTTTCCCATCCATCTGACCTTTAGTCCTTCAGTTTGTCTATCAAATCATTTCGTTGCACGTTTCTCCCGTACTACTGAACACTCTGTCGTTATATTTAGTCAGTAGCCTGTATCTTGCGCGCACGTTTTAATCTTTTGAACACATTTTCCTTCTTTGTCGATACTTTAAATTACAAATTGGGGTATTGTAAATACTACAGTTCGTGCATTCTTGCTTTTGTCTTGGTTAACATAATAAGAATGAGCTTTGGATGATCTTTAAGTATTTGCGAGCACTCTTAAATTGATATATTTTGCTTGCTTTTTCTTTATAAAAATGTACATCTGATGAGTCAATCTTTTTCCAATCGTGACTAGTTTTCGTTTTGAAAATGTTGAAAAGTATCAGTAGGTCGTGAAAAGTTGCAAGACACATATCTTTATTTAAAAAGTTTAAAAACATTATATATTATTATTGTTTTGTTGTTTATTTGCCAGCGCAAATTTATTTTATCATAACTATCGAAAAGTGTTGATCTAGTGGTATTTAGAATACATTATACCTATTTGCAAGATATTGTCTCGACTAGCAACAAAAATAGATCTGTAATAGTTATCAATTACTCGTTGTCCTTGAGAAAGAAATGCAAAGCATTTCGATCACTAGCCACACTATCAGAGTGATCAGTATTGACATAAATCTACCATAAAACTTTAAAGATATAATGGTCAATTAGAGTCATCTCCCATTGCACACTATGGCAGTGTCTGTGTGTAAATAAAGGCAACAGTAGTGTATCGTTGTTCAAAAGTCATAAATCGATTAAAAAAAACCAATACTAAACCAGAGGGAAGCATATTAACTATAAGAGGAAAACCACGGAACAACGGCAACACTGAACGTCAACATACTTAGAAACGGAATATTTGATAACAATTGCGATATTCCTGAATTTGTACAGGATATTTTAAGAAAACATGGTGGGTAGAACCTGGTAATATGGCTACCCAAAAACCTCCCGGTTATATGACAATATTAACAAATACCGCTAAAATGACAACACTACTTGACGGAAATACAGTACAAACAAACACGAGAACACTCAGCACAGAAAAATGCATAAAAATTAGGCCGTTAGTTTTCTCGTTTGAATTGTTTTACATTGTCATTTCGGGGCCTTTTATAGCTGACTGTGCGGTGTGGGCTTTGCTCATTGTTGAAGGCCGTACGGTGACCTATAGTTGTTAATTTCTGTGTCATTTGGTCTTTTGTGGAGAGTTATCTCATTGGCAATCATACCACATCTTCTTTTTTATATAAATAAATAATATAATAGCACATTACAACATGTAAACCACAGAATAACAACGGAAATATCCCATGAATGAACGACAGCAAGGGAAACCACAAACTGTGCGCCACATGAATGGATCAACGCCACAAAACATGACGTATATATTATCACAGCTAATCTTGAAATTCATACAATTAATTATATGGAACGAGATAAGAAAATTCACAATTATTTGGACTAACACAATACTTTATCCATTGAAAATGTAAATTAATTTGACTATTCTGAAAAATAAGACATATGTGAAATATGCTGAAAATAAAGAATTCAAACCACAAACGATAATACATAACACAATAACCAAACGTACTAACAAAAACACGAATGGTGCATGTATAAATACCGAGACACGTCGTATAGCAATGCAAATTCACTCTCGGCATCGGATTAATATTCGGGAATAGGTCACGTTTGGTACTTATGTGAAATTGTTAAATGCAATATGTTGTCTTACAGCAGATTTATATTTGCCATGGTTTTATGTTTCATATCGACCTTACTATTTTCATAGCTAGGTTTTAGTTCGCATCTACAATCTTTTATTGTCACCTGTATCGTGTACATCCTGCCACATTTTGACTTACTTTTTTATCTTTTTCATGTCGTTGATGTATATGTTTCCTTCATTTTCAAGTCAAAAGGGAAAGAAGAAATCAATAATATTGAAGGAATTTAAATTTTCTATGAACGGGTTTCAAAAGGTCAATATAAATGATCGATGTTTAAAGACATCAGCACATGTCAAAACTTTTCTATTTAGGTTTAGATTAACCTACACCAGGAAGGCATATCACATTAAAATATAATCTTATGATTTTTGTCAATTGTATCATAGAAAGAAATATCATTATTTTATTCTGTAAGATGAATGATCAAGCTATGACAAATAAACAGCGGGTACCTGCAATTGTTGTCAGTCGTAAAACAAAATTTATCATCAAGAATTGGAAACTTCACATCTATCAAAGGAACTCAGATAATTGTCATGTTCTACTAAACATAGAACCGCAGTATACAATAATCGTTATCGTTGTCTCATAGTGTGAGCGAAACATTTCCTTACCATGGCTATACAAACACAGAACTTCGACTGGTGATTATTACAGATATAATCCATTGATTCCAACGAAAAAGCTCAGAAGTATAACGTGTCTTATAATCACAATAAAGACTAAATAAAAATAAAATGGTGTTGCATGTATGAATTAGAAAAAGACATATTGTCATGTTGTATTTTCAGCGTAGATTATTCAAAGTTATATGTTCTTTTGCCTTCACAGACAAAAATTCATATTATGATATCTATTATAAAACACTATTATCTTTCATGATATTATTATTTTTTCAACTATCACTATATTTGCACTGTAAGCTCAAAATTATTGAATATCATTTCCGCATACTTCCTGTGGGAGCTGATAGACTCCGAAAAGGGGACTTGAAAAACTGGTAGATTGTACAATTTTACATTGGCGGTACAATATTTATCTGCACCAGAGGCGAATCTCGACAATGAATGTCTCATCGGTGATAATCGAGGCCAAATTATTCTTTTAATTTCTTTTTCTTTTATCTTTATTCATCACACTTCATATCTATACATACTATACAATCATTATACATATCATATTTACAATATTATCACATTTTGAAGATAGTCCATACAATACTACACTCATGCATACTCTTACACAGTACAGCAATCAATTTGCTTTCTTTCTTTTTCTTTTTTTTTTCTTTTTCAAATTAAAAAAAAATAATAATAAATAAATAGCAAATAATAAAAAATATCTAAAAAAACAATCAATATTTTTTATATTTCACAACATTGCTTTCAGTTACAACAGTTATTAAAGCGGGAAAACAATTATTGAATGTATGCGGATGGTTTCCCTATTCCGTCACATAATCAACTTTATTTCGACATTGTAAGTTATTAACTCAAAGACTTGTTAGTTGAAATATAACATTAAAAAAACTGTTATTCTAAATCATGGAAATTTCAAAATTCAAAATTTAAGAAACTTTCTTTTTTGGCTCTTTGTATATAAATAAGATGTAGAGTGAGTGCCAATGAAACAACTCCCCGTCCTAGTCACAATGTATTTATAGTTTTTTTTTGTAATTTTTTATATTTTTCAAGATGAAACATGTGAGATTACATAGTACAGTATTAAACACAAAGTATAAAGAGTTAAATAACACTTGTAAGATCGATCAAATCATAATGGTATAATAAGATATAAATATTACTATTGAGTGTTAATTAAATGCTGCTTCTAACAATTGCCACTTCTGATCCTTTTTTATTTTTTGTGCAGGGGTTAAGAAACATACAGAGTATTTTTCTATATTAATCCAATACTTTAAATATTCTATCCAACCATATTTTGTGGGCAATGTGCTCTTATATCTACATTTGTATATATAGTATTTAAATAGCAACAAGATATTATTAACTGTTTTACTGTTGACAAAATCCTCAGACACACATACAATGGCCTCTTTTGCACTGAAAGTCAAGAAGATGTCATAATTTCTAATCCAATCTATAATGAATAACCAGAAGTTTGGTGTTACATTACATTCCCAAAAAATGTGAAAAATATTTTCTCTAATTTCTGAACAAAATGTACATAGTTCAGTTTCTTTTAATTTACATTTCAATAAAAAAGAATTACATGGTAGAATCCTATGAACAATCTTAAATTGACAATTTTGTAAAAAACGAATATCTGGTTATAATGAAGGGCATGGAATAAATAGCATTTTAATCTTCAATCTGCATATCTAAATCTATTTCCCATTTATTACGAGAAGATAATGATAATACTTTATTTTCCTCCAGAAATAATTTATAGAAAAATTTACAAGATTTTGGTTCTTTTTTA